CGTCGAATCACGCATTAAGAGAGGAACAGCTTCAGTGCCCCGGTGCAAAATAAGATACATCATGGCTGTAAATACTAAATCCGCATCTCCGCTTTTAACTGCTTTTTGAAGAGCAAGTTCAGGTTGGTCGATCTCCAGTAATTTTGGTACTTGCCTTGAAGCAATTTTTTCGGCCTCTAAAAGTAACAACGCGGCATGCGTTTTTTGTTTTAGGTATAATTTGTAAGCGATTTCAGCATGTGAATTTTGATTGACCTCCTTCAATTTTTCAATCACATCCAACGCAACTTGTTTTTCCTCCGCCACAGTTAAAGAATGTTTGGTTAACTTTGCCAACGCCCATTCCGTCATCACTCTTCGAGTGTTAAAGCCTAAACAGTTGCATATGCAATACGCCAATTGATGTTGATCCATTTGCACAAGTCTGTCCGCCAAACGATCTCCCTCCAAAGATAAAAATTGTGCCTGTGACATTAACATACCTGCCTTACTTTTACGTAAGGCATTCAAAACACGTAGTCTTCGGACCATATTTACAAATAAATCGGAATCGTACATCGAGCAAAATGCTTTTCCAAACGCAGCCACGCGCATCAATCGTTTTTGTTGTGAAGTGTTCAACTCAAATCCGGCAGCAGCAATACAATCATTCACCGCTTCAGAAAGTTCCGTAGGATTTCGTTGTAGGTCTCGAATCAGCTTCACAGAAGTTGTACTACCACACATAAATTCGTCAAATGCAAGTAGCAGCATGGCCGAATTAGCTCGAGATCCCACAGAAAAAATACGGCGACTTGGGGCCGAAACCACCTGAAGAAATTGATAAGAATCCGCCGAAAAAATCCGAATACCGTCACACTCGGAAACCAAATAGGGAGCAGAAGGAATATCATTCAAAAAATCCGACTGATCAGGGTCCTCCACATTAACTAACGTTAATGTTGTTGAAAACTCAAGATCATCCTCAAATTGACTCTCCAAATGCAAGTATGTAATGCAACTATCTCCGCACCAAAGAAATTGAACAGGTATAACATCCAGTTCTCTAGTGAGTAGACGAGTAATATCTTCAAATGAACGTGAAGCAACGTAAAGTGTTCCATTTTCAACTAAAAAGGCGATAGATTGACCACTTGGAGAAAGTGCCATATGAACCACCTTACCTCCATCTATAGATACGCGAAGGTCATAGCAACCAGGATTACTAGAGAAGACAGAGTGCCAAAAACTAGATACGCCATCCTTTGTTAGAAAAGGTACAAACACCTCCGTGTATCCAGTATCGCTAAATTGTTGTGGAACGGCCAACATTACTGTAGGCTTTTGGTTTTGAAATATCTGAGGAAGGTTCAAGGCAACCTTCCTGTATTCCCCACTATTATGGTATTCCAATACAATTAACTGGGGTTCCACATCATTAACCAACAGGGAAATTCCATTACCTGTACTAACACATAGTAAAGGTACCGGAAGCTTGATCGATTCTGCAACAATTTCCCCTGCCAAACTAAAAAATTGTACTTCCCCGGTGTTCAATAGAACAATGAGATGATCTTTACACTCATTCCAGCACATGAAGAAGACACTTTCTATACCATCGAGACGAATATTAGGCCTCAGAGGATGGGGTGCCCCTTTTGCAGTATACAAGCCAATAACATTTCCAACTCCATCCGAATCAAAGCGATCCCCGCAGTACAGCGCTAAAGGGCCACCACCACTGCAGTACGCAACTTTGAACTCGGACAAACCTCTTTTCAATTCCCAGAGTAAATCGTCAAAATCAATAAGCCGCACCACAGTTTCCCGAGTAAGAGCTATCCAAGCACCAGACCTAGTTGTCCGTACAAAACCTCTTTGATACCCTATTTCCATTCGACACTTCTCTCTCTCTTCTCTCTCCCTTCTGTTCCTCTTTTTTTACTTGTTTGATGTGAAGCAAATAATGATAAGAATAATAATAATAATAACACAGGGAAAATGCTGGAGAAACCTTTTTCTTTTTTTTTGTTTTTTGTTTTTTCCTATTATTATTATTATTATTAATCTTTGTACGATGGTTTTCTTTATTTTTCACAACACCCGGGTATGCAGGCATTTTTTAAATTCATTTACATTTTCCAACACGAGACAGACAGAGAGACAGAGAGAGAGAGAGAGAGAGAAACAGAGATAAATAGGACATAAAAATATATATATAAGGAGATAAGCAAATGAAAAGGAGTAAAGGTCAATTTTTTTT